GTGTGTGTGTGTGTGTGTGTGTGTGTGTGTGTGTGTATATATATATATATATATATATATATATATATATATATATATAAATAACTCACTCACACATACACACACCATTATTTGCTCAACAGTAATACACTCAGGCAGTCATTCCTGGACTGATTTAGATGCAGTACATTGTTATTTACAAGAAGGTCAAGATAAAGCACCTGTTGTACAGTTGCCTTTTGATGCTTGAGTGAAGACGGTGCTGTAGCCAGAATGAAGAAAATTTCCCTTAGACACTGCATCTATAGCTAAGAATAGATATGAATGTGAAGTGCTTTATTGGTAGATGTAATTTATTGAATCTATACAAATTTGAAGGGAGAGTTCTCCCCAGCCCTCCCCACTACAAAAGTATTTTCCTCTTTCAGTTACAACTCAAAGCTGGAGAAGTTAAAGCTTTGAAACAAGAAGTGGATCTTGTGTTTCTCCCTCTGTATGTTTGAGAGGAGATAAAAAAGAGGGAGTGTGAAAGAATGAGCAGCTTGTGTTTGAGAATGTGTGGTGCTGGTAGTGTCAGTGGTTTGCTTGCAGCTGCAGAGCTGCTGTGATCAGTGCTGAGAGCCACTTTTGATCTTTTTGTATCATGGTGTTGGACAGATTTGTAGACCTGCCTTTTTCTCTTGTCCTTATTCTGAGCAAAAGTTTAGGTTTGCACATGTGTATGTGTGAGGGAGCATTCTTTGTGGGCCTCTTGCTTGTGCAGACAATGTTGAAGGTGTATCTGGGACCTCAAAACAGTAGCAGCTCTCCTAGAATAACAGGCATTCTTCCTCATCACCACACCCAGTATCAAACACAAAGCACAGTACATCTGTTGAATCAAAACAGATACAGGGAGCTATTTGGTAATTGTACATTTTTTAAATTTCATTTTTAGTGTTTATCATTTTAGATCTTTCAGATTAATCTGTTGTTTTATTAACAGTTTAAAGTTACATTATTTGGTAAATGTTTTACATGAAATTCTTTAAACACATTTGCTAAGTTTTCTTCTGAACAACACTGTACTGAGAAAACGTGATAATTTATTTAAATTGACAAAGTATTAATAGCCTCTGGCTTTAAAGTGATGTAAACCAGAAGTTTAATTTTTGGTTTTTATTTTGTATTAGACACCAACCAAATGCTGATTTACTGGTTGATCAATAATTTGGAACTGCACTTAATAAATATTTAATATATTTGTGTAGTCTACTCAACAACCGTTCTGTTTGTTTTGTTAAACCTAACCTCCTTCAAATCTGTCAGGTTGTTGTGCCTTTTGCTTTGCCAACATTCACCTATTATACTTTTTTTACTCGCATGTAGTTTACATAAAAAAGTTTGCTTCCACACACTTTTACCCGAATATAGCAAGTACATTAGTTAACTTGATTTGACACAAACACAGTTGTTAGTACTTTATCAAATGAGATATCAGTGATGGAGCACAGAGTTTGGCAAAAATCTCTGTCCAATCTAAAACCCTATTCGCACGAGATTAGTTTTACCTAGGGAGCACATGCTATTTGTAATAATTACGGAGATTGTCGGCGTTGTTAATCTCGTACGAATTGGCCATGTCAGTATTTTGTAAAGTAAAAATTCCCCCGCAAATTGCTTACTATATTTTGCTGAAATCTGAGGTCCTGTGATAATAATAAACCAATGCGAATAGGCATCTCTGTGATTTGAACAGAAATGGGCGGGATCTAGGAATGCGCGATATATACAGTATATATACAGTATATACAGTACACGGTAGAAACGATAGAAATTTAGCCTACGATAGAGATCTGTCTTCTACCGTCTAACCGCAGTAATGCTGTGTCTGATGTAAAATCAGAGTTGTCAGTTTAATCGTTACTTTTTTTGAGTTGAAAACTGTGTGTAAGTGGTGTTAGTCTTTTCTTCGAGAGCTTAGTAGCGAAGCTACAAGCTAACTACGGCCGGCTTGCCGTAGTGTTGCCGTGTTCGGACGCATGCGCATAACGCTGTGTTCCGTCGAAAGTTTTTTTTTTCCCCATCGAAAGTTAAAGTGTTGGTCAGCTTTAGAGAAAGCTGTTCTCTGACCTGTGAAAAGAACGCTGTGTTGTGTGATTTTACTGCGAGACCCTCTGGTCACAGAGTCATTTTGTGTCAGCTCTCCTTAAAGCGGAAGGAGGCGCCAACTAGAGCGTTGGAGGGTGAAGTGTTTTCAGTGTAACATGCTGCTCTGTTGCTGTTCATTTCATAAGTGAGACTGGAAACTGTTGAGTTAACAACATATTCTTTTGTTTAAAACATATGGCTAAAACTACATTTGATATATTTTGCACTGCTTTGCCCTACAAGAAAGAAGCCTAATACTTGATTTGTTTATAATTTAAAAACTCTCTGGACCTAGTAGTGGAATTTTCTTAATTCAAAATAAATGATGGCCAAAGAACACCCTATGCTTTTTTTTTCATTTGTATTGCAAGTTTTATACCAAAAACTAATTCATCTCACAAGACCCTCGGAGCATGTGGAGGGGCATTAAGTGCATAACTGATTATAAAGGAAGGAGTGAACAATGCCCCAAAGACCCATCTCTGCC